GTGAAAAACTGTTCACTAGGGCACCCCCAGGGAAGACCAGGACCAATGGATACAAACTCCTAGAAGGCTGCTTCAGGCTTAATAACAGGAAAAACTCCTTCACAGTCAAGGTGTCCAGACTGTAGAATAAACTCTGTCCAGATGTGGTGCAGTCACCTACCCTGGAAGTTTTTGAAAGGAGACTAGACAGTCACCTCACTGGGGTCAACTAACCCCATTTGTCTTCCTGCCTAGAGCAGGGTGCAAGCTAGACCCAGTGCTCTGCTAGGTCCCTTCCAGCTCCTAACAACCTATGAATCTATTATTTATTGCACATTCATCATCCACTAAAATTGTTTAGGTCCAGATGAAATTCAGTTCACTAAGACAGCGTGGAAACAGCAGTCACTGGACATTATTACACCTGGCCCACCAATAGAACACAGGCCAACCTTTTTGTGGGGCTGGACACTGTTGGGAGAGAGAACCACTGTAACATTCTATTACTGTCCGTGACTCCTTAATGACAACACACATGAACCAACTGACCTAAAAATGTAAGAATTAATTGAAGATGCGGAGTGAGGACACTGACCTTAACACAAGCGCATGTAAAGAAGAGCATCTCTGTCAATACTATGCACCAAAGGTTATTATATTCATATTACTCACATAAATGCTGTTATTCAAAGACCTGAAATGACTGAAATCACTAAAACAGTAGCTTCTTGGCAGCTAATACATTCAGCAAAACATTTTTCTGTGTCAAAAGTAATATATTTAAGAGTTACATTTCCTTTAATTGCTAGAAAAACATAGCCACTGCCAGCAGTCCATTGGGTTTGCAAAAAGAGTTGACATCATTTTACCATCTTCAGTTTAGACCTGATGCGGGTTTTTGTTTGTTGGTTCATTTTAGGTTTCATGGGCTTTGGCTGGGAATTCGACTGAGACAGTTGATTCAGATTCACTTGTTATAAACTAAAGAATTTTCCTTTAAATGTTGCTAACAGTGTACCAATATCATTATAACTTGCCAGTATATATTTTAGTAAAGCTGTCATGCAAGTAGGAAGCATACAGAACCAAAGGCCTGTAAATGTAAATAAGCTTAGCATAAATAGACTTGAGGTTTTGGCCTAGTTAACATGAGCAGGTAGTCAGTATTTGACCTATAATTATGACACTAACCTCAAAGTGAGAAATGGTTTGGTTGGCAAAATAAACTGTACAGATGTACAAAATAGATGTTTTCCTTAGATTTAGGAAAGTTTGCAGAATAAAAATGTACTGTACATTGCAACTGTTAACTGCTTTTGGCAATAGTAACTTGCTGACATGAATGTTAATGAATAAATGATATTAGTTATAGATAGCAAAATAAATTTGAGGTATTTTTAAATCGTGGGTTAAGTGAAGTGCTTAAAAGGACAATATCTTATGCATATTTAAGTTAGTTGGACTAAAGTGTATAAAAATGAATATCCTAACAACCTGTGTGAGAAAAACAGGAGAACAGGGAGTTCCCATCTACACTGGCAAACAGCCTATAGCAGGGGTTTCATACTCACCTTGTCAGCCAGGACTGCTCGGACCTGGCTCAACGTGCTGCAGTCCAGGTACACGTGTAAATCACGTGCCCAGGAGCTTCCTGGGAACAATAAACTGCAGAGCAATAAGATCAGCAGTTTATTGCTGCACGCTAATGGCATGTGTAGATGCACCCTGGGATTCCTTGCAGGTTGGATCCAGACAGAGGCATAAAGCACCCAGATCTGGACCCTGGGGGCATGTCTACATAAGACACTTACTGCTCAGTTGACTAATTAACTGTTCAGTAAATTTCTCAGTGTCTACATATCCGCTCCTATTGTACAAAAAATATTACCTTGCTGTGGAGTTTTTTCATGTGCAGCAGCACACGTGTAGATGATGACCCAGCTGGCTGGTGCACAAGGGGGCTTCAGTGCAGGCCAGCACCTCCTCAGCACGTTGAGCCTGGCTAGAGCAGCCCCAGGCTGGTAGGCTGATCCCTGGGGCCCCCTGCCAGCTGGGGCTGCTCAGCAGCATTAGCACACTAATGGCATGTATAGATGTGCCTTGGGACTCCTTGCAGGTTGGACCCAGCCAGAGGCATACAGCAGCAGGAGCTCTAGGTCTCCCCAGGGCATGTAGCAGTGGTAGCTCCAGCTCCAGCACAGGGAACATGGTGTACCTCTGGCTCCCACTGCGTATCCCAAGCCAGAGTTGAAGCTGCTACTACCACTGTCATGTGCCCCATGCTGTGGCAGCGGCTCTAGCCCTTTCACAGAGTACACGATGATGATGGTGCTCCAACATGGGGCAGTGATGGAGCCAGTGGCCAAGAAGCTGGGGCTGCAGCAGTTGTGATGGGCAAAACAGCTGGAGGATGACCTGGGCTGATTCAGACCTTGCAATGCTCACCTTCCTGTCACCAACTGCCATGTCCACCAGGGCTCAAGACCCCTGGATTCTATGGTAGGCCACATCCCCAAGTTCTGGTGGCCTGCTGGTAGCACAGCTGGCCAAACTGAGAGGCTGCATGAGCCAGAACTGGCTTGTGGGCTTTATGTTTGACACCCCTGGTTTATAAGGATATACAAAGGAATTGATAGAATGAACATAGTTCATTTAACATTAATTTTCATTAATTTTCCAATTTTCTGTTGTTACATTTGTTCCTGGGTAAAGGTTGCATTCAAGTTACTTACCAAGTGGTTATCCTCTGTTTTCTAAGGTAATCATAGCACAACTGGAGCAACTGAAGCTAAGCCTAACAGTATAATTGAATCTTGGGTATAACCCTCATTCTTAGGATACACCAAAAAGGTATCTCCTGGCTTCCCAATCAAATCAGGCAGAGGCTCTTTGCTAAACATCTCTTTAATCAAAAAAAAATTTGCTTCAAGATGTGTTTGTAGAAGGTGTCTCTATCTTTTATTCCATGACCAAAATGTCTATATTTAAGGCTCTTCAAAAGTTTTCCTTACAAATCTGTTAGCAATGACATACCAAGTACTGGACTTAGAGGCTGCAGCCTGGAAAACCCTTTAGTGGGTTTACCAGGCTCCAGCCTCTAAATGTCTCTTAACTTCTTTTAATAAATTAATATAAAAGTAATGAAGCAAACACTTCATTTCAGATGACAATGGTATGTAATATTACCTTCAGCTTCAGCCTCTTTCTTTTTCAGACGCTAATTTCTAGATAGATACAGTTCTAATATCAATTAAAGTCAGAATAATGTCCCATTGCTCTTATAGAAATTAAATAAAAAATCAAAACAAATGTGCGTGAAATAATTCAAGACTTAATGAAACAAAGTATTAAAAACCCAATGAAAAAAATTACAAAACATTTTTATGAAGTATTTCTATCTTAACGAATAACTTGGTGATATTGCAATGAAAAATAAAAAAGTTAAATTATAAAGATGTAGAAGTTCTCTTTTCACCATAGTCACATATACTTTATTTAGTTATGTTACAACTGCACTTTTTTCAAAATGTTGCGGCTAAAAATGCTACATACACCACAGAGCAAGACTGAGAAACAATTGGTGGTAAACAAGGGTTGTAATTCTGTACTCAAACATCCCTCCTAGCTTCCCCAGCTTGCCCAGTATTACAAATGAGACTGAATGTTGAATGGAACTAATGTGTATAGCACTGGTTTCTTGTAAGGGTGCATTTGATTCTCCAACAAATCTTATCTTTTAAGAGAAAATTCTTTTGAATCTTTTTTTTCCAGAAATTTGGTTGCAGCCATTACACACAAAACTCACATTTCAAAATTTTGAGAGAATATCCAGGGGTGTGCCAATTACACAAATATGGTTATTATGCAAGCAAATATGGCATGTAACTTTTCTACATTACTAGGTTTCATAGATGCATGAAAAGGGGAATAACTCTTTCCAAAAGTTATAATATCGTCCAAACATACTTACAAAACACACACCTTAGAATAGATAGAACCATCGTTTCTAAAACCCCACTTCTGATAGATGCTGCTTTTGTCTCTGAAATAGAATAGTATAATTCAATTAAGTAAATTAATAGTAAATGTTACCTCAGTTAAATCACTTTTTTGCTATAAAATTAAAATATATGTAACATAAGAGTCCATTCCATAGCTCAATGACATGCATCTGTACTGAAAGCTCAAGGATGTTGTTGAATGAGGCTCCAAAATTCCCATCGAACTCAATGACCACTGAATCAGACTCATTTTTTTAATTACTTCCGGTTTGGGAATGTAACCAGTGCATATCAATGTAAAACTGGTGGGGATGCTAGGAATTGCATCTGCATGGTTTACTGGAGTGACAAAGAATGCATTGCTAATTTGACTGAGTAAGAGCAATGGCTATTTTCAGGGGTGCCTGTTGTCCTTGAGGACATGACATCTTGACAGAAGTCAGGCTTAATTTATATATATATTTAGAGGAAAGAAATCTGAATTTAATAAACTCAACCATATCATTTCTGTGCCAGGTTCTATTTTTATTTATACAAGTGTAGATCCAAGTAACACCATTGACACGATTCATACCAGTACCAGATTCAGATCTAAAGCCCAATACAATCAATAGAATTTTTTCAATGATTTCAGTGGGCTTTAAATCATAC